TTTGACTCTGGTCTTTGATTGGTTGTCCCAGCTGCCGGTGGTGGCGGGAAACATGCCGGACGCCTACGGGGAGAGCGGCGGAAAAGCCACGCCCGCAGTCGCCGTGAGCAACAGCTGCCCGGCCGACCTGCTCGCCGTCAAGCCAGAGCCGAACAGTGAGTTGCTGCGCTTTGCCGTTTCCATGGTTACAAGAGAGGGATTCCCTACCCCCAAATGCCATTTCACTTTTAAAATGAATGGACGCTCAGGCCATTCTCGGAGATGAGAATGTGAAAATATGAAATGGTCTGATGTAAAAGCCTGCGGCTGATTGGCTGTTGCCCCAGTGGCGACCCTCCCCGTCGTCCGACTGGTACAGGGACTGTGTGCTTTCTCCCGGTTCCTCAGTCAGCACAACGACATCCTTAGGCACAAATTTGACATTGTCATCACTTCTGACTTCCTGTTCAGCGAACCTCAAGATAATCTCACAATCGCCAAAGTTCAACAAATCACTTCTCCTATGGAAATCACAAGTAGAAATGTACGTGCCCTGTTCGTAAAAAGTGACTTTTTTTTCAGGAAACGCCTATCTGTTGAAAAAAAGTTTTTTTTTAATACATTTTATTTCTGTGGTAGGTGACATAAGTTGATGCTCGGGTGGGGAGGGGGGGTGTCGGACAAAAAAAATTTAAAGCTCAGGAGAAGAAAAAAAATCCAGAGGGCCAAAAAAAATGTCACTCATGTTGCTTTTGTGAAAAATCAAATTAAAATCACATTTTTATGGAAAAAGAAATCTCAGCTTTTCTTTTAAGGCCTTATCACCCGGTCCTAATTTAACATGAGCTGTCTACAATGATGATGTTATGACGTTGCAGATGTGGATGCAAAGGTGCTGATGAAGGAGCGACAGAAGAAGGACAATCACAACCTGAGTGAGTTCTCAGTGAACAAGCCAATTGACCCCCGAAATCACGCTTTTACCAGACAGTTGAAGAGACGCCTTTTTGTTTTCCAGTTGAGAGGCGGCGCCGCTTCAACATCAACGACCGCATCACCAGACAGACAGTTGAAGAGACGCCTTTTGTTTTCCAGTCGAGAGGCGGCGCCGCTTCAACATCAACGACCGCATCAAAGAGCTGGGCGCTCTCGTCCCCAAGACGCCCGACCCGTTAGTACTCGGGGGGCGGGGGGGTCGCCGTTCATTCGGTTGCGGGTGCTAACGAGGCCTTGTGATTGGACAGAGACGCCAGGTGGAACAAAGGAAGCATCCTGAAGGCCTCGGTGGATTATATCCGAAGACTTCAGAAAGAACAACAACGAGCTCGCGACATGGAAGAAAGACACAAGAGACTGGAACACACCAACAGAACCCTGATGCTGCGCATACAGGTCAGTGACACTCATTCGTCAATCGCACGTTGGTCTCGCCCACCTCCCACACCGCACCTGTCAATCGTTAAACATCCCCCCTCCAATTCAGCCCACCTTTGACAAGTTCTCATTTTCAGGAATTGGAGCTTCAGGCAAGCCTCCACGGCGTTGCTTTTTCTTGCGGCGAGGGCACCCCGACGGACTCGCAGGGCTTCCTCTCTGCTGTGACGCCGTCGTCGGACACGCTGGGCTTGGAGGAGCTGAACGAGCTTCAAGGCGGCGGGGACGCCTTCCCCGCGGACCTGATGAACCACGCGGGGCTGGCGGCGCTGGACGACTTCGGAGACATCCTGATGGAGGACGGCGGCCTGATGTCACCCGCGGGCGGCGCCGACCCCATGTTGTCGTGCGGGGCGTCGCGCTGCAGCAGCAGGGGGAGCAGCATGGACGATGACCTCTGAGCAAACAGTCAACAATAACCGCCGGCATTTCCTCTGACACCGTGCTGCTAACTATGCCGCCGCCCCTCTGTCATCTCCCATTCACCACGGTAACCACACCCTTCTCTCTGTCCCTGTGGTGACCACATCATCACCTCCGCCGCCATGGTCATGTCATCACACCTTTGTCACCATGAGAACCGTGCCATCCTAATCTGTCAACATGATCACGTAACACTCATCTGCGACTATGGTAACCACATCACCCCCAGCCCTACCCATCATGATGGTAGGCAAATCATCCTCTCTGTCACCCTAGTAACCATGCCATCCTTCTGTCACCATGTTAACCAAGTCATCACCACCATGTGACCATGATAACCTTGTCATCGCCTCCCATCACCATGGTAACCATACCACTCTTCCCATCACCATGGTAACCGCACCACTCTTCCTTGTATCACAATGATGACCAGGTCATTAGCCCTCTGTGACCCTGGTAAAGATGTCAACACCCTCCTGTCACGATGGTAATCGCACGGCTCCCCTTCACTTGCCGCGGTAATCCTGTCATTCCCTCTATCAACATTGGAACCCTGCTTTTTTTTTGCTCCGTCACCACGGTAACCACCCCGTCGACCATCCGCCCTCTCTCGCTCTCTCTCTGTACATATGTCAAACGTTGCCATAGCTACAGCTAGCTCCATTAGCATCGTTGTTTGTGCTAGCGTGGATTTTACCTGTAAACAAATGCGTTACCAGCTACCACTTGGAGGTCAGTGCCAAAATGAATTGAAAAATGTTTTTATGATATATAGAATTGGATATATAATTTTTTTTATAACAATTTTCTAATTGGTGAGCTTCTGTGGCGAGCATGTGGATATGAATGTTGTACGTATGTGTCCGTTTTCTGATTGATAGGCACTCAGTCGAAGAGCGTAGCCAATCGGAGCAATTTGTCACTTGATGCTGCATCTTGATTGGTCCTGAGAATGCAACTCCAAATAGTCCTTGTGTCATTCCTCTTGATTTTTTTGTTTTGTTTGTTTCCCTTTACCAATCTGTTGCTGGTACAAACATTTTGGGGACCAAATGCCCTCGTGTGTGATGTCGTCTTATTTAGCAAGCACTAGCATTTAGCTGTCAGAAAGGAACGTGTATTTGCGTGTGCCAATGCTAGCTAGCTGCTGCTGACAAACACATCCGTTAGCATTGTCCCGTTGAGCAGTTAAAACTTTTCATGATTTTATTTTTTTTCTTAACAGTGAAAGTAATCTGTTTCATCATAGCAACGGACGTTTTGCTGTCGGGATCATAAAGGGAGTCGTCTTTGTTGTTGTTTACAATCATGTAACATTGTATCATATCTCTATATAGAAACTTTATATCGAAATAAAGTGAGAAGAAAGTATTTTTCTCTAAAGTACTATTGAGTCGTGAGGCCCTTAAAATGCCCCCCTGGTTCGTTACTCATTGCTGCATGCCATGTATTGAAAAAAATAGGTGGGAGGGGGAACAAGAAAATAACAACCGCAGAGGTTACATCATTTTATTCGTGCTTTAAAAGATGTTTTTCCCAAGTTTGAAATAACAGAAGGTAAATTTGTGTTCCACTCACCACCACCAGAGGGCATTAACAACCTCTTGGAGAATCTCACGCGTGTCATTGTTAGAACTTGTGCGTGAATATGTGCCAATGTCTTTGATGTTGGCTGTCAGGGCTCAAAGGTTAGTTCACGTTGTCTTTTCAGTAACTTCCCGTTTCCTGTTTGGATGTTCCGAAAACGGACAACCATACCCAAATTTCCTGTTCAGGGCGGCCCGCCCCTCCAGAGAAGTCAATCACACCAACTTGACATGGGATTCCACAAAACTTGGACAAAAGAGCACATAGTACATTCATGCAGTGGCAAGGCACGCGTTTTTTTTAATTTTTTTTTAACCCAAAGCCGCTGGACTTTGAGGCAGCCATATTAAGCACTATTCAACTGTTTTGCCCTTAAATAAATGAGTGCATATAATTGCTGTTAATGAATTGCAGTGCAGCCTGTGTCAGGACACGCTCCATGAGTCCTAGCAAAGTTCCCATTCTCAGTACGATGAGGAACCAAGACTCCGTCTGAACTTTGGAGTGACCTCATCTTGTCATCCTTCCGGGATTGGCCACTCTAAGAGGGGAAACATATGGCGCAACACTCCAAGCAAATCTCCAAACAGTCTGTGGAGCTGCAGCACTCCTCCAGTATCCCGCAGTCCAGCGGGGCCGCACACGCATTGTCCCAGCAGTAGCAGCAGCAGCAGCACCAGCAGCAGGTGTCAACGAACCAGCAGCAACCGGACGAGCCCCCTCCGCACGTCACGCACCTCTCCGCCGCCCAACACATGGACGGAAGCTCGCAGAATAGACAAGCCAGCAGGCAGCCAATGCAACAGTCTGTGGAAGACATGAGACTGCGGTTACATGGAGAAGAGACCGCCGTTGTGTGTGTGTGTATGTATGTATGTGTATATGTATATATATATATATCACGGATTAAAAAGAACTCGACTAGATCTTCCAAACGTTGCATTCTCTGTGTGTGCGTGTTTTTTCATGCGTACCCATGCGCCGGAGAGATAAGGTTCATGTTGAAGGTGTCCCACTGATAAACGCAATGGGTGTGTTGATCTTTCTACTTCCTGTCACAGTCGTGTCGGTTCCATCCATCCATCCATTTTCTGACCCACTTTATCCTCACAAGGGTCGCGGGGGGGGTGCTGGAGCCTATCCTAGCTGTCTTCAGGCAGTAGGCGGGGGACACCCTGAACCGGTTGCCCGCCAATCGCAGGGCACACAGAGACGAACAACCATCCGTGCTCACACTCACACCTAGGGGCAACTTTCGTTTCTATTTCATCTAAATGGTTAAACAAAAACACAAATAGGACCCGAATGTCAGCTTCACATGACACCCACCCACCTTCTCCCGCCACTTCTTCAATGAGGGCAGCGTTTGTCTTGAAGGGGGCGTGGCTCTCACTGGAGGACAGCCGTTTCTGATTGGTGGGGACCGAAGGAGGGAGAGGAACCCGCGGCAAATTGTCTCCACCTGAGGTGTCGTCCGCGGTGACGTCACGGCTGATATTACTTTGAGGCGTGTTTATTTGGACGTCGACTTCCCGATCAGTTTCCAGCGAGGCGTGCTGGCCTGCAGGGGAAGACAGTTGTCAGGTATTAGCCTATGCTAAGCTAACGTCATTAAGCCCACCTGCACTTTGGAGGAGGACGCTCGGTCTACCGGTTGTCGGCTGGCTGGAGATGCACTCTCCTTGGTCGGAGCACTCAGAAGCTCCGCCTCTACGGTCCATCCTGGCCACTGAGAGATAAACAGTGTTGTTCTCTGAAGAATAAAAACGAATTATTACTATCCACTTAATTTATGTGCGTAAAATAAACAAGAGTGGGATTTGCTGGCAACCAATTGAGGGTGTCCCCTACCTACTGCCCGAAGACAGCTGGGAGGGAGTGTGTAAAGCTCTTTGGACAGGCACCTTATGATGTAGATACACGGATAAATCGTGCAATCCATTTACTATTTTAATGACATAGGATTTGTCATATGTTGGACTATGACATGTTTTTTTTTAAACATTCTTATTATTGTACGGACTGGCGAACAGGTCGCATGTGGTTGAAATAACATGACCAACTGACGATTACAGTTTGGTTGGTCTTGAAATAATAATGGACTGACAATGATGGACGTATGCCCAGGCCTGTGACGAATGATGGACCGGCAACATTTTGTAAATTGCTGGTCATGCAGTGCTCTGCGAACATTGCAGCTCTGCTTACCTTTTGGCTTTGACACGACAGCGCTTCAGTCACCGCATAAAAGTGGTTCTTTTGCTCTGGAACTCTGTCTTGCTTTGCTGACAAATCATTGGCTGAGAAAATCCGCGTGGTGTGGTGTTTATTGTGTTCATTAGTCTCACTGTGCTGGCAAGATTTAGAAGCACTCACTCAGAAGGTAGATAAGTAAAGATTAACTGTGATTTCACACTTAATGCGTCGGCAGCCATACCTGACTCTCAACTATTGGTTTACAAAAATTAAAACGTCACTTTTATGTTCCTTTTAAATAAGGTTTGCACTTTTTTTCACGTTCATATTACATTTTAACCAGCTGTTCTCAGCATTTTTTTTAAACAATGTCAAATATTGTATAAATCCATCGTGAGAATAATCACAGCCGTTGGTAATTTGGCTCATGAAATGATGTCAATAATATTGACCTAAAAACCAACCTTCAGCCTCCGCACGCTGCTTTGCACTCCTTCCAAGGCGTGTGCGCGTTTGTGTCTGTGTTTGAAGTTTCAAGTTGGAGGCGACCCGCGTGAGAATAAGCTGCTCTGGTAATGGGGGGCGAGGGGGGTGTCTGGGTTGTCGTGTGCGCGTGTATTCATGTGAACGCCCACAACACCTCCCACTCCGTTGTGCGCACGTCACAACAAGAAATGCGGTTGATTTGACAGACAGTTGAGGTGAAAACATTCTTTCGAAAATAACGCTATAAAGAAAGACGGTCATGTGTTCATGTGGAGTATCAAGTGCACTGTGCACAATTAGCACCATTCATAAGTGTTGATATAATGCAGTCGTGGGCAAACTTTAGCGCTGCAGGGTCACATTAGAGTTTATTTATTGATTTTAATTTTTGATTAAAGTGATGCATCATGCAATTGATCAATCAGAATTTATTTTCGTGCCCTTTATGTGTTTGTGAGTCTTTTTTCGTTTGGATTATGAATTAAAAACCAATTAATTATCTGGTGGCAAAATTCATGATTTATGAGTAAATAAATGTTTTCACAATAAACGTTATTTGTTCTGGAACAAGAGAATATTTCAAAACAGCAATAAAACGTTTTTTCTTGAATAAATGATGTTATCGAGCGATTTAGTTGTTGTTTCTTTTGTGCCCTGCGGGTGTCGCTGCCACTTCGGTATCGCAGCAAAGAAAAAGAGGAAGAAAACGCGCACGAAGATGCAACTGCTGATGCTGTGAGGAAGAGGATGATGAAGTCGAACAAAGAGAAGGCTGTCGGTGTATTTGGGGGGATAAAACGCGTCTTTTGGCTTCCAACCAAGTGATGGTGAGTCTTGTGACGGTCAAGTAGAAACAAAAAACGACGACGCCATTGACGCAAATGGCGGTTGCTCCGCGTATGTTTTCAGTCTTCTATGCGCAATTGTTTATCGTTCTTCACATTGTCCATCTTCACCGGGGTAGCACAAAGTCGGTATGTGCTAATACTTGTGGAAAAGAGACACTGGCTAAGGTCGAAGTACTGATTTAACCAATTCGTTTCGCTCAAAGTAGGTTTCAGTGTAAAAAGTCAAAATGATTCGTTTTTTCCAGCTATCAGTTATACAGTTATTGTCACATTGTTTGTAAACAATGCACCATGTCACTTCTGTTACACATTTGTCATTCGTTCGTCTACACCTGGGCTGACAAACTCTTTGTAGTTCAGGGCAGGGTCACGTAAAAGATGTCAAGTGGTAAAATCACAGCATCATTCATATGACTAACCCCAAGTAGGTGGTTTCCCTTTTGTTTTCATGTAAAGCAACACAATTCCTGGAGCATGCATGAAGTTAGGGAGAACTACGTTTAATGATAAGATAAGATAAAATAAGATAAGAAAACCTTGATTTGTCTCACAATAGAGAAATTCCCAATTTACAGCAACCAAATTATGAAAGGGAGAAGCACAAGAACAAAAGTATATAAATAAAGATAAATTATAAAATATAAATATAAGCATATTAAAAATGGGTGAGCGGGGGTGAGTCCAGGTTTTCAGGTCTGTCCATTCAATAGCCTGACAGCAGTCGTGAAGACCACGCTCAGATTTACTTCTGCCTATCACCTACACGTGTGCTTTAATACTGATCACAGGGATTTCTTAATGTAAAGGGACACTGCTTTAACAATAAAAGAATAAAAATGAGTTTTAAGAAGGGCAGCAAAGGGGCCTTGCCCACCGTTCTTTTCAAAGAGAGAGAGAGCGACAGAGAGAGACTGTCGATAATTTCTTCATCAACTCTATGCCCCTTTTTCTCTGTAATTTTCAACTTAAGTTTGAATTAGAGATTATTTGTCAAATAACTGCTAAGAAAAAAAGAATTTTAAAGCTCAGGAATGACGTATCTGTTTGTCTTAAAGGCGGACGAGGCGTCATTTCGTCAACCTGACGATGATGAGGAAGGAGTCGATGTTAGCATGGAAACACCAAAGGGGCCCGTCTACTGCGTCTGCAGGAGACCTGACATCAACTGCTTCATGATGTAATCCACCACACTGTTAAAATGATTCACACCTGTAGCGCGCAGTAAAACACCTGTGGAACGCATGCAACATACGGAGCATACGTGGATCAGCCGTGACACTTGCATCGCGCATCGACACCTTTAGTACACGCATTGACACTTGTAGCAGACTTGTAACACTTGTAGCTCATGTCACACCTCGGGCACACGTGTAGCACACGCACGAAACCTTTATTGCACACGTAGCACTGGCTGCACAGACGGAACACCTGTAGCATACCTGAAATACGTAGAACGCCTGTTGCACACACATTTCCGTGTAAAAAAAAAAACCCCTGTAGCACACATTCACAATGTAGCACCTGAATGAGACGTTTTCATCGCTGGAACACGCACGTCACACATCTCAACTCGACTCAACTCAAGTGCATCTCTGGAGTACTTTAAATCAACCGTCGCTGTAGACAAACTGCTGTAGATGAGACAAACTGAGTGCTCAGTCAAATCTGAAATGGAAAAAAAGAAGCAGCAATAAAGCAACACAGGGAGCTGTCTTGACTGCCGGTGCTCTGAAATAACACTTGTTGAGCACTGGACCGTATGTTGACCGAAACACCACGTTCGTTGTCGTCCAATCAGAGGTTGTGACAGCTGCACCGAGTGGTTCCACGGGAGCTGTGTGGGCGTGTCAGAGAAGGCGGCCAAAACCATCCGAGTGTGGTTCTGTCCCACTTGTCGAGGTGACTGGCCTTTTTTGCACTTCAATCCTAAACACACACACACACCCACACACACACGCGTGTCTTCATGTGCGCGATGTGACACCGCTCCCATCAAATGGCGTTGTCAAGAGCGCATGTGGTGTGTTTGACTCTCGTCCATCTCAGAAGGCAACCCGTCTCTGGAAATTAAGCATCGTCAGAAGAAGACAAAGGAGGAAGAGCCCGAGGAGGACGGGAGCTCACCCTTTCAGTCCATGAGTGACGGCCGGCGTAGCTCACAGGTGACTCGGCAAGCAAGAACCAAGCCCGCCCGGCGCGCCGTCGACAAAAGCACATGAGTTGTTCATTTTTTTTATTGATTTTTTTTTTTTCTGCCTTGCCCGCGTTGCGCAGCAAATCAAACGGTCTGCTCGCATGTGCGGCGAGTGCGAGGCCTGTTTGAGGACGCAAGACTGCGCCACCTGCGATTTCTGCCAAGACATGAAGAAGTTTGGAGGACCCAATAAGATACGGCAGAAGTGTCGACTGAGGCAGTGCCAGTTCCGCGCACGGGTGAGTGATCGCGACATGGACGCGGTGAGTGCCGTCGTCAACGCGTCTCACACATTGGCGCCCGCGGCACACGCGTCACGCCTTGTTGTGTACCCGCAACGGCTGTAGCACGTGAAATAAAGTGAGTTTTTTGCAAAAGATGTGGCATGTTCCTGGTGTGGAGCAGAAGATGCTTCGCGTCAAAGAAGAGGAGTTGAGTCGACGCCGCGCCAAGGGGCGACGGGAGCGCCGCCGGCAAGACGGCGGGCATCTTACGGAGGGGGAAGAGGAGGACGACGTGTTCAGTGAAAGCGAGCTGGAGCTCTACCAGCAGTACAAAGCTGCCGGATTCGACGACCTCGTCAGTGGATGTTTGGGGGGGCGGCGGCGGGTTTTTCCCGCTGGCGCTTCCTCCCGTGACGTGTCTTTCTGCTGCAGATGTGGCACAGCGGAGAGGCGGAGGAAGAAGAGGAGGACGAGGAGGAGGAGGAGGAGGAGGAGTCACTCCGAAAGAAGGCGGTGAAGGTGAAACATGTGAAGAGACGGGAGAAGAAGCCAGAGAAGAAGGCGAGTACCACAGTGATAATTTTCCAGTTGGAGCCCTTTTCTGATCTGCGGGACTCGCTGATCAGAAAAGTATGAGTCCCATGATGCATTTCGAGAGTCCCAAATTTCGAATTCTGAAATGGTCGACTTATTCAATTGCAGATGATAATAACACAAACAACAACAATATAAATTGAGAATAGGTTTATTTCTTATCAACAAATGCTGCAAAAATGGAAATAATTCAGGGATGCAAGATTATTATCGCAAAAAACGATCCAACTTTAGCTGCTTCCTTTGTGATATCTCAGCAATAAACTTTCGCAACACTTGTTTTAACGTTACACAACTTGGCAATCGTCTGCTTTCCGTGAGGTGAAGGCCGATCTCGCCAATCTCGTCTCGCGAGAATGGAAATCTCGTCACGCGAGATTACTTAACGCGAGATCAAAACAACAATGGCCGCCATTGTCAAACTGCGCCACTGCGTTGCTGGAAAAAAAGATTTATCGTCGTTTTTTTTTTTTTTTGCTTTTTTTTTGTTTAGACTGAGAAATTTCCTTGCGTCCCAAAAACGCACATTATTTGGAACGGTTGCGTCCCGCGGGAAAATTATGCGTCTAGGACGCGGGACGCAGAGGTAACGAGATGGCTGCTACCGGTGTCGCACATGAAACGCCGTCTACGGACACGTTGCGCGCACGCTTGCAACACATATGGGACGGCTGTAGCGCGGCCGGAGCGCGCAGGTCATCGCTGTCGCACACAAGATACCGCGTGTGACCGATGCCTTCGTCCACAGAAATCCCTCTCCACCTCCAAAGAGGAGGCGCGGCGTCACAAGGCCAAGCAGCGACACAGGGGGCGCGTACGGCACAGTGAAAGAAGGGGAGGAGGGGGAGGAGGAGGAGGAGGAGCAACAGAGGCTGACGCAAAGGAGCTCGGCAGTCCTCTGCGCCAGTGTCTCGGGCCAGGCTGCGTCCAAGCGGCCAGAGCCACCTCCAAGTACTGTTCCGACAACTGTGGCAAGAAGCTCGCAGCCAAGTGAGTCTCGGCCCCCCGTTCCCCCGACGTGATGACGCACAGCTTTTTCCGATGCCCGTAGGCTCCGATTTGACACATACACTCAGCCAACTGCACCTACAGCACAACACACACAGCGTCACCACGACATCATAGCAGCGAAGATATCCGTACACCTTTTGTGTCAGTGAATGTGGGTACCAGCACAGTTTAAAATATGTCAACGGTGATTCTACTTGAGACAAAGTCCGCAGCGGCACACGTATTGACTTGAATCTCAAATTCTAAAACCTTCGACGGTGATTAGCATTGGCTTCTGGGTGAGGCGAAAAGACTTGCATGAGTGGCGTCACTTTACGCTCCGACAGTGTAGCCGTCGTTAGCCTCCAGCGAGCTCATGGCCAGCTTTCCCCGCGCAGCCGATGTGTTTATGAGAAGACGATTAATCGGTATTGATGAAGTGGGGGCGAAGAGAGACGTGCTGCTATTTTCGGTAAAGCCCAATCACCCCCGCCCCCCCCTCTCTCTCTCTCAGGGGTTAGGGTTCGCGACACGTGCTGCTATTTTCGGTAAAGTCCAATCACCCCCGCCCCCCTCTCTCTCTCTCAGGGGTTAGGGTTCGCGAATGACATGATGAGCAACAGGTGCGATGCTGGAGGAGAAGCCCTCCCATGCCACCTTTTGGGTACAAACGGAACAGAACCACGACAGTGAACGATGAAACAGAACCAAATCCAATCCAAAGAAAAACACAACCATGACAATTTCAGGAAATGAACAAAACCGACCTTGTCCGCCATCGGACCCAAACTCCGATGACGGCGATCGTAACGGGACGTCGCTACATTTTGCAAATGTATGTCCACGTACAAGACGCCTGTATCAGGACGGCGCGCTTGTCTGCGCCTGTATGAGTTTGTGTGGTTACATTCTAAGACATTGACTGGACATTTTGACGTGCGCAGTCGCATCTATGAGATCGTCCCTCAGAGGATCCAGCAGTGGCAGCAGAGCCCCTGCGTGGCCGAGGAGATGGGCCGCAGGCAGCTGGAGCGAATCAGGAAGGAGCAGCAGGCCGCCAGGCTGCGCCTCACCCTGATGGAAAAGCGCTTCCACGAGCTGGAGGGCATCATCGCCAACTCCAAACTCAACCAGGTGCAGCACGACGAGGAGGTACGAAGAAAACCAGACCGAGCGAATGCGGTTTGGGAGAAACGGCCCGAAAAGATGACGGTGCACTGAAAGGCTGTGGAATTGTTGGGGTGGAACGTCGGGCTGGGCGATCTGGCCGAAAAGCCCATCGCGATCGAACCGTTTCCGATCGGTCCATCTCCATCCATGTATTGAACCGAACGTTATTGTTTGGAACATCGTGATTGGCTGTTGCAGGTCAGACTGGCCATCAATCAAACAGAAATGACGCCACTCTTTCTTTCTATTTTTCATGTCTTTGTGATAAGCAACCTAGCGCTCGTTTTTCACAACACAAAAATAGTCACGATGATCAAATAAAAAGATAGTCTTCAGAACTCGACTAATCCTCGCCATCGGCATGCTCGGCGGGTACCGAGAGACTTACAAAGAGCGGGGTCTGCTTCCTGATTTTTGTTGTTTTTTTTTCATCGATATGATATTGACTGCAACGTCTATTGATATCGATTAGGTGTCTGTCGCGCGATATATCGAAATGAGATTTTTGCCCAGCCTGAGTAGAACACGAGACTTGAAAAGTGGGAATGGTTTGAGTTGGGAAAGAAAAGTATGTTTTCGAAGGACAAACAAGGATGCGGGAAAACGCCAAGCGAATGAACAGCCGTCGCGCTTGTTCATTGCAAAGGCCAACGAAGGCGACGGCGACGACACCGACCTTCAGATTTTCTGCGTATCCTGCAGCCATCCGATCAACCCCAAGGTAGCGCTCAGACACATGGAGAGGTGCTACGCAAAGGTCGGTATGAGCCGCCGCCTGTCGCCGCCGCCGCCGTCAATTTTGCCGTCTCTGACCACGGTTGCCCCTTTTTGTCCCCGTAGTATGAAAGTCAGACGTCCTTTGGATCCATGTACCCCACGCGGATTGAAGGGTGAGCCCGCCCGTCTGTCTACATGTCACCATGATTGCAGTGAAAATGACTTTCAATTTTTTTTTTTCGATGAATATTATCCGTGGGCGTTTGGGGTTGATGTTAAATGGCCACCTGGAGAACACAAATTCACACCGGCGCCGTACAAAAAAAGAATGTCGGCTAAAATATGGCACGTTTCCCCGTCTCTGACACAGAGCGACGCGCCTTTTCTGTGACGTCTACAACCCTCAGAGCAAAACGTACTGCAAGCGGCTCCAGGTCTTGTGCCCGGAACATTCCAGGGATCCAAAGGTTTGATTCCCTTCTGTGTTCTTGCAAGCACTTTCCATGTTCTCGGGGCTCCATCTTGGGATGGCGTCAGGGCTGGGCGATATCGGAATCATCCTTATTGGCTAAGTATGTGGAACACACAAGGAATTTGTCTCCGGTAGTACAGGCTCCACTAGTATCATCATAAACCATATGACCATCGCACAATATCTTTGCTTAAAAAAAAAAAAATCCACACAAAAATTGGATTTTTCAATTTCGTCGTTGCCCCCCCCCCCTCTTTTTACTCACAGAAAACATAGATAACAAAGACAACATTTTCGTTTGCTTTTGTCCTCCAGGTGGCAGCAGACGAGGTGTGCGGCTGCCCTCTGGTCAAAGATGTTTTCGAACCCACCGGCGAGTTCTGTCGGGTCTCCAAGAGAAAGTGCAACAAGCACTACTGCTGGGAGAAGCTCCGGCGCGCCGAGGTGGACCTGGAGAGAGTCCGAGTGGTAGGTCAAGCTCCCCGTCGGGGCTCTCGGCCAGGCTCATGGCGCCGTTTCGCAACAGTTTAAAAGGCTCTTCTTTGTGTCTCGGGATGGGACAGCGGCGGAGTTTGATACAGTCTGGAGAAGAAAAAAAAAAAGGGGGCGGGGGGGCCAAGTGGTGTTAAAAAAAAAAAAAAAAAAAAAACACTCCCTTTTCTTTGAAACATTGACTATGGATTAAATATCCGTTTATGAATGACAGACTAGCTCATAAATTTGATAATGGACCATTAGAGTCGATATTGTTCGCCCAGGACAAAATGGACTCGAAACACAGTGTATGCATGGAAAAACGGAAGGTTTTCAGTAAGAGATGAATCACGACTTCAACTTTTACCAAAGTGCTTTTCTATACAAGTACAACACGGGTGTCAAACTCAAGGCTCCGGGGGCCCGATCTGGTCCCCCGCCCGCGAAAACAAATGAGGTGTGTCAACTTGCGCGATCCTTGCTAAAATCTGCACCAAAATGTCAAATTGTCATGAATAGCGTTGCGATTTTGCAATCGATTTGTTACCCTGTTTACACCCACTTGAAAAATAATTAAATGAGATTCTCAACTCGACTGTACAGTATTTTATTCAATATATCGATGAGTTTGGCACCCCTGGAGTACAGTATGTGTACTTCGACACGACAGAGTACAGAGGCTGAGTACTTTTGTCATCTCTGCTTCCGCATGTTTGCGTTGCCAAGTGGTACAAACTGGACGAGCTGTTTGAGCAAGAGAGGAACCTGCGGGCCGCCATGACCAACCGGGCGGGTTTGCTGGCTCTCATGCTGCACCAAACCATCCAGCACGACCCGGTGACCACAGACCTGCGCTCCGCCAAAGACCGCTAGGCACGCACCGTTTGCCATCCCCAGAACACCACGAAGAACTCCTCGCAACGTGGTTCATTTTTAAAGCGATTGGCTACCCTTTGGAAGGGTTTCAAATCCACCACCATGTTGTTTGATGTTGGCGTGATAATGCATTCCTTTTCTATTTTTCTATTTTCATTGTTTTATTGTGTCTTTCTATGTTGTTCTTATTGAGGCTGACCAAGGCCGCAAAAGGTGTTTAAATGTTCTGGTAACTTTCATCAAGATAAAGATGGGTTCGTCGTCATTCCGTTTTAAAATTGTCACGCTTCAGTGTTGTCCAATTCTGGTTTATTCCTGTTTAATTCATGCTCAAAAATCCAACGGATTTTTGAGCATGAATTTAGCAACGTTCCTGCAGTTGTAATCGAAGTCTGACATTAAAAGCTGACGCCACTCTTGCACTCCAAAAACGTCTTTTTATTTATTTATTTTGTATTTATTTATTTATTTATTTTGAGGAAGGGGTTTATGACTCACGAACTAATGAGACCTTTCAACAAAGAGGTTTGAATCTATTAATGTAGCCATGAGATTCTCTGGCTAACAGCATGCAGTGTCAAGAAAATGTCTTCATTGACAATATTTGTATTTGGAATTTAGAAGTTGTTATTAAATGTTATTAGTAATTTGCACACAAAAATCAGAAATGTTCATCTCACACAAACATAATTGAAATTCAACCAAACTGATTTTGTTTTGTTTTGTAATTCTAAACAATTTATCATACAAATTTGGATCATGTTCCCGAAGTGGTGTCTCATAAATAATATAATATTCTTGTCAGAGGATGAAAGGGTGGATGAAGAATTTAACATATTGGTTGGCTCGATGAAAAAAATTGGGTATTACGAATGTATTTTTTCCCGCCCTTGTCATTTATTGTGACATGATTATCTCCACTAGGTGGCGACAAAACATTAGACTCTTGTTACGCATGTCCAGAATAGAACGAAGAAGAACGCGTGTTGACTGCTAACCCCTCGATAAACAAGTCGCTCCGACCTAATAATTCAGTTTATCTTAAGCCAGACCACCTGGTTAAGATATGTAACTACACACCAACGCGAGTTTAAAAGATGACGGTGAGTAAACCTTTCATGTTGCATCAAGAGCGATCATGTTTAGCCAAGCATTTTAGCAAGCGAACAGGTTACCGAGGCAACGAGAGCCCGTCCGGACGCGACGTCTGGACATCTTCTGGCCTCTTAAAATATTATTGCCTGTGGTCGGAACTGTTCACCCCTTCCCAAATTCACTAAAGAGTGATTTTTATGTCGTGGACTATAAAACGCAGTAATCAGTGAAATGAAAAATAGTTGTAGACCACGTCGTGGGTGCCGTTTGTGACGTGTCATCGCGCAACATAGCGTTGGAACAAAATAACACTTAAAATTCATCATCCTTGTTGTGATGTGTAACTGTACTCATTTTAAATACACACACACCTACCATGCATGTTTTTGGAATGTGGGAGGAAACCAGAATACCCACGCAGGCCCTGGGAGAACATGCAAACTCCACATAGGGAGGCCGGAGCTGGAATCGAGCCCTGCACCTCTGCACTGTGGATAACGCTTGTATATTTCCATAATTGTTTCCCCCTGAGGATCCCTCGGGAATAAGGTGGATAGTGACAGAAGGCATCTGAAGCTAATGTTCCATACGGAGTAGGTCAAGAAGCTAGCTGCTCTTCAACAAGTCAAGTCAACTTTATTGTCAAATATGCTACATGTGCAACATACAGCACAGATGAAATGTCATTCCTCTCAACCACAGGGGGGAGAGGAGCCGCTGCGGGAGCCCGCGCCGCCATCAAAAGAACAGTTCACCTAAAATGACAAAATAAACAACGAATGAAGATTCGTCATGCATTCTCACAAAGTTAGTCCACAAAACGGCAGCTGACACGATGGAGCAGTACAGCATTCTGGGTCGCATCGGCGAAGGCGCTCATGGCATCGTGTTCAAGGCCAAACACGTGGAGGTGATGTCACCGTAAGCCTGAAGTTTCGCTTTGCGGACTCGCCGGTGAATGCTCATGTCACAAAACGATGTGAAGCAGACCGGAGAGACGGTGGCGCTGAAGAAGGTGGCTCTCAGACGTCTGGAGGACGCCATTCCCAACCAGGCCCTTCGGGAGATCAAGGCCCTGCAGGAGATTGAGGACAACCAGCACGTCAGTCCGACTCACTCATGCAGAGGTTTTCTCGGCTCAAACGGAGACAGGGAGGGGGACCATTAGCTCAAGCAACAACACCTTTTCTGTTTTCAGTCTTTGCGTGCATTTATTGTTATTTCATGATGACTGTTTCTTATAAACAAACAAAATTGAGCCCTGTGGAACACCACACCACGTTTTCTGCGCGCGGGAGATCAAGGCCCTGCAGGAGATCGAGGACAACCAGCACGTCAGTCCGACTCACTCACGCAGAGGTTTTCTCGGCTCAAACGGAGACAGGGAAGGGGGACCATTAGCTCAAGCAACGACACCTTTTTTTATGTTTTCAGTCTTTGCGTCCATTCTTCATGATGACTGTTTCTTATAAACAAACAAAACTGAGCCCTGTGGAACACCACACCACGTTTTCTGCGCTCCCACTGCCGACTCCTCAGGTGGTGAGGCTGAAGGACGTCTTTCCGCACGGCACCGGTTTCGTCCTGGTCTTTGACTTCATGTTGTCCGACCTCTCGGAGGTCATCCGCAACGCCCGGCGACCCCTGACCCCGGCGCAGGTCAAAGGTTACATGTTGATGCTGCTGAAAGGTGTGGCCTTCCTGCATAACAACAACATCATGCACCGGGTGAGAAGCGTCCGCAGTCGAGTAGGACCGGGTGATGCGGCCTTCACCAAAATCCGATTGGTGACTTGAATCGAACGTTTCCACCTTGGCTTCGTTCGTTTTTTAAAAATAGCGTTTTGAAGAATGACGAAAAAAAGCCCAACAAATGACTGGATCAAATGTTTGATGCTGCCCTCCCCAATAAAGCGCTTCCTATCTGCCTCCAGGACCTGAAGCCCGCCAACCTCCTCATCAGCTCGTCGGGGCACCTGAAGATCGCAGATTTTGGTCTGGCCCGCCTCCACAGTCAGCAGGAGGATCGACTCTACAGCCACCAGGTGGCCACAAGGTGGCGCCCTCTCTCGGCAGCTTCAACCGTCACTCCTTGCGCTTTGGATTTTGAAAAACGCAGTCGTACCGTTTCCGCGTGTGTCCAGGTGGTATCGTGCTCCCGAGTTGCTGTACGGAGCCAGAAAGTACGACGAAGGCGTCGACCTTTGGTCAGTCAAACGGTTCATGGTTGGATTTCCAGTGCGCGCTTTGAGCCCCCAAATGGTCAATCTTTTGCTCTCAAGCGTCACAATCTGGACATGTCGCATCAGGAGGGGAAAAATGTGTGAAATCTTGAACCCGTTGCAACGCGGTGGTCACCACAGCGGACAGCTTTTCAAAAGTTGCTCTCTCCTACATGAACGAAATCCCTCCAAACATTGCAGAAAATCCCAAAGAGAGTTGTCGTCGTTTGTGCCTGAAAAGCTTCTGATCAGGATGAGACCTTTCCACATGTGGTTAAAAATCTGCTGCACTGATTGGCTCGTTGAAGTCAGGGTGCATGTCTGAATGACAGCCACCAAATGAGCACCGATGGCGCTGCGTGTGCATCGCAGGGCCGTGGGTTGTATTTTCGGAGAGCTGCTCAACTCGTCTCCTCTGTTTCCCGGTGAGAATGACATCGAGCAGCTGTGTTGTGTCCTGAGGGTGCTCGGAACGCCCACCAATGACACCTGGCCTGTAAGACGCGCACACATATCTGCATGCACAAAAAAAAAAAAAAAAAACGCACATACACACGAACACATGCGCGCATCAACGGAGCCGAGCAGCAAGCGTCCCAACTTTGCTCCCATTGAACCGCAGGAGATGGCGGAGTTGCCGGACTACAATAAAATCACCTTCAAGGAGAATCCTGCCGTCCCGTTGGAAGAGATCGTTCCCGACTCCTCCCCCCACGCGGTCAGCCTGCTGCACGGCTTCCTGGTTTACCCGTCCGAGCGCCGATGCCCCGCCCATCAGGTACGAGACGAGCGATCGAGACGAGCGATCGAGATGAATGAACTCCCCGATGGTTCACCCGGCAGGCTCTCCTCCATCCGTATTTCTTCTGCTCGCCTCTTCCCGCCCACCACTCGGAGCTGCCCATCCCCCAGAGGGGGGGCGGCGGCGGCGGGCACCACCTCAACCCGCGGCTGCAGGCGGCACCCGCCGACTTTTCCGTGGACCTCCCCCTGAAGAGCAGCTTGGTCCGGCCCGCGCAGCTGCGGGGGCACGCTTCCTGCCTGTGATGGGTCCAAAGCACTTCCTCGGGACGAACAGAACCTCCAAATTCCAATGCGTGATTTGAACCCGGAGACGACAGATTCGGCCGCCCACTGTCAGCTTTCCCCACGTGACCAAGAAGAGGGGAAAAAGAAAAGCAATCAAACTTGCACCAGCCCCTAAAAGTGAGTCAGACAGGAAGTGGACCTGACGGACCCCCAGAGGGAGGGTGGGCGGCGTGGTTGGGTATTTTTGCCCGCAAGTTTGCCAGCAGCCTCGGCGCCCTTTTGCTGGTTGAAGGCCAAAGTCAACGAGGCACTCGAGTTCGCGGGCACGGCTGCGGGACGTCGGCGTGCGCTTGTTGCCGGAGGACGCCGATTCCCGACGCTTGTGCAAGAAGTGATCCAGCTTCACTTCATTTGTCCCCCAAGTCTTATTTATTCACTCCCTTCAGCTATCTATGCCAGCGACGTATCGTGACAGGCAGAGCAGTTCGATGATCTTTGGCGGCTCAGTCAAGGCTGCGGAAGCGCCGCCATGGAAACGAACCGCTCATTGAGTGCTGCGTTGCCGTAGTGATGATCAGATTGACAGCCCGCGGGATTTTGTGCGCCCGCATGCGTGCGTGGCTTATCAGCAAACGTTGTTTTTCATTATAAAGCAAGCAAACAGTCTCTATGAATCAAAAATTGTTATTGTCAGAATACACGAAGGTCCTTTCATACATGTGTGTGCGCGCACACACACATGCGCGCGTACGATCGACACACACGGGATTCACAAACTCACAATCCATCCACACAAACAATCACGCGTTCCACACAGACGCAAGCACGTCTTCGGTTCATCAACACACACACACACACACACACACACACACACACACACACACACACACACACACACACACACACGTGTGTTAACGTGTATGGCTTATGAGAAGAAGTTTTAAAGGTTCTTTCATGACAACCAAGCAATCCGTCTCTATTACTCTCTGGTCATCATCAATCACCATTGATGAAGGTCCTTTCGGGTTAGAAAAATACAAATGAATCAACATGCTTCAACATCAAGAATAAAAGTTTGGGTATTTGCATACTGATTTGGGGGCCGGGCCTCTTTTGAACCGCACCCCCCCAATCAGAAACCGTGTTGTCCGATCACATGCAAGGAAAAGGCTTTGAAGAAAGAAAAGAAAAAAAGAAGCCCTTCAAAGTCACCCCCAGCCCCCCCCAAAATAAGCGTAAGCTGTCCGCTAATGTCAATTCAGAGCGTGAGTCCAGCCAATCGGCCCCGCCCACCGAGGCGACTGCCAATCAGAACCCGCGTCAGTCGCCGCGGGCTGGGCTCCCGCCAGGGCAAGCCCCGCGCCTCTTGGCGCCCCAGCCCGGCTCTCCTCCAAGCGGAAGGCAAACTGGCGCCCGACTCGCCGTCTTCCGACTGGCTGGCGCCCGACTCGCCGTCTCCCGATTGGCTGTCGGCCGAGCGCTCGTCACGCGGCATCAGGAACGAGAACGGCGCTTGCTGAAGAGCTGGCCGGCTCCCGGAACGCTTTGCGTCCTCCGCCGCCCTCGCTTGCTGCCTCCTCCTTTTCCTCTCCTCCTCTCGCTCGTTCCTCCGCTTCCTCGCCTCCTCCTCCACAAGGTCCAAGTCCAGATCTGGCGGGCCTCCTCCACCGGCGCTTCCTCCTCGTCTTGGTTTCGCTTTGGCTCCCCCTGGGCGCTTTTTCCAAGGCGGGCTGCGGGAGGTGGTCGTCATGGCAACCGTGTGAGCCTCCTGCTCCTCCATGTGCGAGGAGGATGAGGAGGAGTCTTCCTCAGGGCCTGGAAAAAAAAAAAAAGACAAAGTCAGCTGAGCCACCTCAGAAGTCCTCGAGATGCTCGAGGCATTTTTTTTTTTTTTTTTTGGACATGATCTCGAGGAAAAATATTTTAACTTTCTTCTCTGTGGGACTTGATGCAAATGAACCCCGTATCATTGGTTTCAATCGGGAGAAATTTTGAAAATGCCAGAAAGTGGGGTGGGCGGCAAAAATTGTTACTTTATTCCTCTATTGACACACTTTGGGTCGCCGACGCTTCACTCGCAGTCAATTCGAGGACCACAGCCGCCGAACAATTTTAGAATTTATAAATCAACAAATGTGAGGTGCAGGTATTTTGTCGAGGTGGGGGTTGCCATCCTGCGGTATTCACGAAAGGCCTGGTGAGTGACGTGGGTGTCAATGAATGAGCCTGTAAAGGTGGCTGGCTGGATTCGTGAATTGTGTGGGTTTTTTTTTTTGTTGTTGTTTTTGTCACTCTTTGTTTTGTTCAGCAAAGCAAACCTCCAAAAAAGAAGAGTCAGCGTCATTTTTGTTTTTTTCCGATGATGTGAAGGGGTGCAAACAAAATGGGAGGTTTTCATTTGAGGGCCATCTTGCCCAGCCCAGCTGAGAGCAACGACATTTTGGACTCAACAACACAGAAGATGTCAGAAGCGCTTAAAGGATGAAGGATGAGCCGCGCGGAGGAGGAAAGAAAAGACGCTGAACGTTACCGACCGCGAGTTTTCCGTGCGTCCGATGACGTAGAAGCAAGGCTCGCCCTGTTTGGAGTTGGTCATGCACAGAGACAGGCTGGACAGCTCCACTGAGGAGGGAGGAAGGAAGGAAGGAAGGAAGGGGGGAGAGAAAAAGGAGGGCGGGAAGAAGAAGGGACAGAAAGGAGGAAGAAAGCGTCAGCGAGCGGAGAGCGACGTGCTTTGGGCTCAAAGCTGGTCCATTCGTGGCTTTGCGTCTCAAGTCGTTTTGATGCAAATTCGGCGTGGCAAGTGCATAAATTAAGCTGCCACCGCGTGCATGAAATTTGCAGCTTTGAGGTCGAAAATAAATTCTCCAAAATTCCCTCGCCAACCTGCCATACGATGACATTTCAGGTTTCTGCTATAGAATTGTCAGCTCATGTCCATTTCGATGCCGCTGATTCAGCACAGGGTGGCGGGAAGGTGCTGGTGTCACGTTGCAAGGTGGTGGTGGACCGCAAAAAACAGGCAAGAGGGAGGAGCTTGACAAATTGTATTAAAATAGAGAAAAACTAAATCCAAAGCAAACAAAGTCCAAAGTATCAAACAAAAATCACGACTGAAGCTAAAACCTAACATTAACCGAAACATGACTGAAACAAACCTGACAGCAGCAAACAAACAATGACCCGACAACGAGTGGTCGTGCCGGGAGTCCTTTTAAAGCAATAATCACATAACGACCAACAGGAGTGCAGCTGCAGGGAGAGCCGGGGGGGAAGGCAGACCGCACCCTGAACTGGTCGCCCGGCCAGTCGCGGGGCACGCAGAGAGACCAACAACCTTACCGAACGGGCACCCATCCCACGCTGGCCACACACAAGTCCCATCGCGTGGACCGCTACACCATCAATGACCCTCATCAACGGCACCCTCACCGTAATCGGGGACGTAGCCGTTTCCTTTCTTCAGGACTAAATGGATCCGATGGCCTCCTCTGCGGATCTGCTCCACGGCCTGACTGTGCGTCATTCCCGCCGTGCTGTCGCCGTTGATCTCCACCAGCTGGTCGGAAACCTGAAGGCGAGCGACGAGGAGCTTCAACGAGCGGCCGTTTCAAGAACAAGCAGAGAAACCCAAAATGGCGCCCGCGTGGAGAAAGGAGCTCATAAAAAAAAAACGCAGGGATGGAGGCCATTGAGTTGGGGGGAAATCGGGGACGTGCTTATGCTAATACGCTAACGTGCGCAGGGTTTTTTATTTTTATTTTTTTGAATGGCATTTTAGCCCAGCCATAAACTGAGCAATTAGCTTAACGTACTACTTGGCTCTCTGTTGATGGAAAACCAAACACGTTCTTTGCAACAACGAAGCGCAGCCCTGGCGCCGAATGACATCACTTTTTTGGGGAGGTGGGGTGGGGGGGGTTGTGTGTACCTGCATCTTGTTGCTACATTGGGCTGGCCCCCCATCCATCAGTCCCAGCACATAGAGTCCCATGTTGTACTCGCTGCCCCCCCGCAGAGAGAAACCAAAACCCGTGGGCCCTCGTTCCAGATCCACTCTGTAGAACCGAGACTCATTCTGAAACACACACAAAAACGAGCGTGCACGTGTTCAAAAAAAAAATGAGCGGCATGTGGCTGGCGACCGCTTGTCATTTGGAGTCCAAAGGTCGAGCGTTATCGGTCTCAGCGGCTATCAAGCATCTTTTTTGCGAACAAAGAGGCATTTGACTTTGGATCAGATCATCGGCGAGCTCTGCGGAAGCCTGATCGATTGCACGACTGTCCGTGTTTTATGTTATGTGTTGTGTTTATTATTTTACTTGATGTGAACTGTTTTGTTCAGCGCTTTGTTACAGCTGCAGCTGTTGTGAAAGCGCTCGATAAATCAGCATGTTTTGTATTGTATTGTACATCGAACCTGTTCATTTGAATCAGGGGAGTTCCAACAGGGAGAGTCAGAAAACATGCATGACAGCCCCCCCCAGGACCTGAGTTTGACCGCTACGTTCGCCTCGGGAGCTTGTCGCCAAATGCGAGTTGGGATGGAGCATCTTTTGGTGAGCAAAAGGACTTTGAATTTGGATCCTATGTCGTCGGCTACGTTAGCTTCTGGCGCAGGCTACGCACTGGCTAGCCGTCACATGCTTGTCGTTGACCACCGAAAGAGTGTTTTCAGTTTCAGCCGCTATGCAGCAAGTTATTGTGAACAAAGAAAGGCCTTTGAACGAGTCTCGCGCGGTTACCTTTGCCCTCCCTTTGCATCCTTTGGCGAAGTGCTTGTCGATTTCCACGTCGGCTCCGTCTGACTCTGCATGGGGCAAAATCGAGTTTGGATCGGCCTTTCGCAACCGGGCGCGGAATCGCAATTTTCGGAAACATTTCGGCGCACGTCTCACGCGCTCGTGGCGTCACGCTCAGCTTCAGCGTGTTTCCCGCCCTCCTCAGAATCTGGGCCAGGTCTCGGTGGTGCAGGGACGCTACCCGCCGTCCCTCCACGGCCTCCAACTGGTCTCCGGGCTGGATGAGGCCGCTGCGAGCTGCTGGACTGCCCCGGCGCACCGTCACGAAGCGATGGGACATCAGGGATCGGGACGGGGCTGGGCATGGGGGAGCAGGGGGGGACAAAGGGTGGACAAGGTGAGTTTTTGTCTTCACTTTTCGAGTTCTTTTGAAGAGCCTCTGATTTGCTTTCCAATCTTGAAAAACGGTCCGGCCCCACCTGACCTCTCGGAGCTCCTCCGCACCCGCCACCGCGGCGGCTCAAGTCTGCGGACCAGACACGACCAGAGGTAGCGAGAACTCAGCTCAGAGCCGGAGCCGTCCCCTCTCTTTGGAATGAACATGACTTGATTTCCCAATTTTTGTCTCAATGTTTCCAATTTTCTTTTCTTTGTCCGTCCTCATTTATCTCTAAATGTTCTCATTTCATGTCGAAAGGTGCTATTTTTTTGTCTCGGTGTCCTAAATGCATCTGAATGTCCTCCCTGTTGTTTCCACGTGTCGTCGTTATGGCTCAGTGTCCCAAAGATTTCATTTTGGGTGTCCCCAAATTGTTTGAACATGTCCTCATAGTTTGTCATCTTAGCCTCATTTTGAGTCAAAATCTCAGAGTGTTTACATTTTGTGTCTGAAGGTCCTTATTTTTGGCGGAAATCTCCTCATTTTATGACAAAATGTGCTCAGCTCTCAGCGGCTGAATGTATAATTGAAGACGCACCAATCGCAGCACTGAATTATTCACAGCAGCCTCAAATGTGTCATGAAGGCACGTCAACCAATCAGAATGTCTTCATCGGCTTCGAGATTGTCCTAATCGTCACGTCCAACATAAACTGAAGCGGATTGAACATTGGAATTTCACGCTTTCCTTTTTTTTTTTCCATCTGTCAAATGAGCTTTGAAAGTGTTTGTGAGCATAGAGAGCCGATCAGCAAAGCCTTTGACGTCACAGCATTAGGCAAACACGAAAGCTGGCAAGCACAAAAAAAAAAAAAAATGCGAGAGGACCTGACGCGATCCAGACTGACAGCACCACGCCACACGGAACAACTCACCAAAGCTAAAAATAGGACAAAAAGCAACCAAAACCTTCTGCGCCGATTGTCCAAAACCCAGACAGCAAAATGTCCTTACGCCGGGTGAGACGAGCGCTTTCCCTCCGTTTCCAGTCTCCGCGCTAAGCTAAGGCCGTTCATTTCCCTTCTGCGGTTGCGCTAAGCTACGGGAGAAAAGCGATTTCACTTCTAGCCGTCGTGCTAAGCTAGGCCGGCAGCTTACATTCGGCCGTTGTGCTAAAGCTAGCGGTAGTCGGCCGTCCTGAGGATGTTCGGACCATATCAAAGATGTCAAATGTTCATCAATAAAAGATGAACTCTTCATCAGAGTCTTCCTCATCGTTCTCAGTATTCTGGAATGTTTGAACCTCTTGGCACTCAAAACGCACTTGAATAGTTGGCACGCAGATGCGTGCGCGGACACACGCGAGCAAACGCAGACCGGTGGCGTGTTGCGCCACTCTGGACTGGCTCGAGACCTGAAACAAAGTCCCCGAATGCAGCGAGCGAGGTCATGAAAAAGTAAATATTGAGGGGGCGATGCCCCGGCGACGAGGGCTGAAGGATACACTGGCGCCGAGTCACCCAGACCGTGTTGCTCAGAAGCTATTGAAGCTATTTTTCATCCTCCTGGGGTGGCAACATTGTTTCGTTTTTCTCTGTCCCCCCCCCCACCCCCCATTGTGGGGTTACAAGGACGCAGCGGCGGCTAGCTTCCCGCGGTTCGTCGCAACGAAGGGAAAAACCTGGTCGTTCTCATGAACTCGACGTTCTCGACGTTTTTAAACGTCTTTTCAGACTTAGTCCAGAATTGACTGGAACTGAATGAGTTAAAAACTTCCCCCCATGAAGGTCCTTCATGAAATCAAGTTAATGACCCCCCCGATCACTTTTTTAGCGCGACACGTCTTCATCATCCTGTCACTTTTTAATGCACTTCATCACATGATCAGAGCTCGTCATCGGGCTGGGATTCGCCGCTCAAAGCAAAGTTTGTTCAGTTCCGCCAGAGTGGAGGAGATTCGTCCCGTCTCGTCTGCCCCGCCCGCCCCTCCTGGCTGACTTTGATGCAAGAGGCGCGGAGCGCTCTGGACTGATTGCCGGTCAACGTCAGGGCGCATCTCGACAAACGACGGGCTTTGTTTGGCTGCCAATGTTGTTGTCATGTCAAAGCAAGCAAAGGTAAAAACGTGCAAATTCCACACGGCAAGGCCGGAAGTCGCATTCAAAACCCAAACTTCACCACTTGACAGCCAGACCTGCTCAACACTCCGCTGATCATCGAAATCAGTTTCAAGTACCAACCAGGTTCTGTTAACCAGCTCGGCAACACCAGCAGTGTGTAGGACAGCACACACACACACACACACACACACAGACACACACACACACTTACATTTGGAGTTCTTGACCCTTTTGAGAACAGCCTGCAGTCGCTCCAACATGATGAACCAGAACCTTTTGATGTGCATACGTGCCCCGTGTGTGTGCCCGTGTGTGTGTTGAATCTCAGAAAGCAGGCAAGCGTTTCAGCTGAGGCGAAGCAGCTCGCCGAGGGGGCCGAGTGTGCACCGGTGGGAGGGACCGACACACAGATTGCGCGTCTGTGTGTGTGTGTGTGTGTGTGTGTGTGTGTGTGTGTGTGTGTACACGCTATCATCTGTGAGGGCACGCCCCCCGAAACTAAAACCAAACTCGGCTCTCCCCCCACACACACATATTCACCCTCTGAGTCCAAACAAAGAAGTCAGTCAAAGAAGGGTCCTCGCTGCCGCGGTGATAATCAAGCTAATGAAGCGGCAAATGACGAGAAGTGATCGTGACAACCAGGTAACAACGGGCAATAATGATGGGACAAGTCTGATGTCAACGCAACTGCCGTGCGAACGAAGTCACGAGCACTTTGCGAAGGAGATCACAAGCGATGACGACGGTGCGCAACACCGCCATCGAACAAGCGGCGATCATCAAGCTTGATCATGTTTTAGAACAAACGTCGCGGAAAATGTGACCATTTCACTGGTGGGAAGAACAAGAAGAAAACCGTTGAAGCAGCTGCGCACCCGAGCACCTTCGGCCACGAGATTGCTCCCTCCACTTGAGCCTCGTTCTCATTTTCTTGTGCAGTGAAGCTCTGTTTCAGTCAACGAAGGGTCCTGGCTGCCGTGGTGATAATGAAGCGGCAAATGACGAGAAGTGATCGTGACAACCAGGTAACAACGGGCAATAATGATGGGACAAGCCTGGTGTCAACGAAAC